GTAAGTCTATTAAGTCTGGAGTTGCAGTGGAATCTGCTGTGGGCTAGCCAGTAAATGACGCTGATTTCTGTCCATCACACAGACAAATTCCTTTGAATAATATGACAATCTGAGTTGGAAATGTCCAAAGTAGACCTTCACTCTCCCACCTCTACAGGCATTTCACAAAGCGCTATCAGACATTATGGTCCACAGTCAGGAATCACAGTCCAGCTTTGCGATATATAAACTTGAGCTCTTCTCTGTTCTCTTCAGCATTTTCTATATGGTTCAGCCAAGCCTTGACCCTCCTTCCCACCTTTTGCACAACATCTTTTCAGGCTCTCTCTCCATTCTCCTTGGTGAAAAAGTTTTGTTATAAGTGATGTCTCACAGCAGCCCATAAACTGTCTGGGCAGGTTTCCTTTAACAGGCAGGAAACATAAAGCAGTTACATTTACAAATAACTCTCTTGCATGGCCCAGGCCTTTGTGAAAAAGTGCTTTTTTTATCTCAGTGAAAGACTCTTTGCATGACTCTCATTGAACCAACTCTAGATCCAGAAGAATAAATAATTTATACCCATTTTTAATCTGGATCCTTTAAGATTCTCTTTCCATCAGGAGGATCTTAACCAGGGAGGACAATTCAGCTCAACAGCTGAGATATCTGTGTTAAGGAAGAAAAAACCTGGCAGTCTAGAGGTACCTGTTTTCATCCATTATATTAGGAATCCACCTAACTGGTTTCAGCTAGATACATAATTTTTAGATGGGTAAAGTTAAGTAAGTTGAACTCCACCCATCAAGATGGACTAAGTGTCACAGAGCTGAGAACAAATATTTGCCACAAAAACACACAGCCACAAACGTTTGCAATTGTCAGATTACAAAGCCTACAAATGATATATCAACTGTTACAAACGGCTAACGCCAGGAGGGACTGCCAGGTGAGAGCCCCGCAGCGCTGCTGCTGGAAGGATGCTCGTAGGATGCTCGCAGGATGCTCGGGGATCTCCCGGGTCCTCTCGGGCAGCAGGAGCCGGAGCCCAGTGCAGGGCGGGCGGATTTCGGCGGAACCGAAGAGTGCTGGTGCCATCTAGAGGGAAGTATTCGCCTAAAAACTCGGAAAATCATTACCGCACATAGGTGATACAATCTGCCACAGATGTACAGCACTGGGAAAAAATTCCTAGAGAGAAGGGCTCTTGCTGCTGCGCAAAAAATATACACAATTATGAGAAGTAGCAGTGTACAACTTACATCTTCTCCTCAACATAACTTTCAAATATAAATATAGAAGGTATACTTAAGATGACCAGCTGCTGATTCTTCTCACCTTCAAACCATTTCCCAGCCTCACAGCTGTATTCCTACCCTTCTTCCTCCAATTATCTGAACTCTGAGGAAATAGCTGACAAACTGACCACATCTGGAGGTCGGATCCTGCTTCCCTGTGCTGCTGGAGCACCGGTGGTGGCTGGAGCCAGCTGGCAGTCAGCAGTGCCTTGGGCGTCCAGGAAGCATCCACTGCACAGCCAAGAAAGCCTCAGGGATGCAACTTCACAGCCCTCTGCTGATCACTGGCTTTTCCAAAGGACCCACCTGAAGTCTGCCATTTGTTCGTGTAACTTAAAACTCCTCTGTATTATAGTGGGAGAAGAACCAGCATCCATAACAAAGGAGGAATTGATGCATAAATATAAGTCATCATCTTTCTTTCACTGTTAAATGTCACCTACAGCCTATGGTTCACTGTGATAACTACAGTGGTGATGATACCTTGCAGGGATACTATGGAGCTTGAGGGAGTGTTGCTGATGGGTGGACTCTGCAGCTCTCTCATAGCAGGTTGAAGTAATTTCTGAGCAAGTGTTCACCAAAACGTTGTGGACCACCGTGTTTTCCTCACCTTTAAGCTGCTACACATGGTCACTGCCATGGGTTGGTTACAGGCATGGCATTCATGCTGTGGCTCTTGCCCCACAGGAAACTCCATATGGTAGCAGTGCTGGATATAAGGAATAAGATATTAAAAGGGACCTGTGCTGGCTGTTTACAGACATTATTTTCTCTCCCTTTCCACCTATATATCCTGATAGAGTGAAGAGCAAGTCTTGGCTTGTGCCTACTAAATCCCTCTTTGCCTGGCTTTGCTGCTAGTAACATTTCAGTCAATAAATCATGGCTGGTGACACAGGGTGCCATGTAGAATTAGTGCCTCATCGTACCATGCACTACAGACCCACACATAGAGGATTCATAAAGGTTAATTGATGAAAGACTATTTGATGTTAAACATTTGCTATTTCACTGACTCCCATAAGAGCTGTACCTCTGAGATTAGTTAAATTTAGGATACATCTAAAAGTTGGGTACCTGTCACCCCAAAGGGGAACATGGCACAATGTACTGTATGTCTTTGGGTGTGTGTGACTGTCTTGCTGGAGTCCTGCTGTTGTTCATTAGCTTCATTGTCCAGCAGCACACCCATAGGCCCTCTGGCCTCCACTGTTTCATGGGCACCATAATGGCCACATTCCTTATACTTCACATTACAAACACCCCGAAAGCCAAAACTGCTCAGAAAAATTTAACTTGAGTGCTGTGGAAGCCAAGATCCTGCTCAGTATGCTGCAGGGCTATGCCATACACTCAGCCAGAAGTCTTCAGACCATGATTTCATGAAAATGTCATCTGCACCAGCCACCAAAATCGCTGAGCAAAGCTATTTTAAGTTCTAAAAGTTTGCTGTTCAGACAAAGGAAAGGCCCTCTTTAAGGACCAGACTGTTGCTCTCCCTTCCCTCATCTGTCTTGTAAAAGCCATAAAAAGGACCAGCCTGCAATGACAAGGCTGCAATGTGCCTCCTTCATGTTTCAGAGGAAGCTGGGGCTGAAAAGAAAGAGGCACATCTGCCGTGCTTCACAGACACATGCTGCAAAAGTGGACAACCTCCAGTTGTAGGGAATGTGCAACACAAAAGGACATGGTGCCATGAGTCAGGACCTACAGAAGCACATCGCTGCCATGTCCCACAAGCTGTCGTAGAAGGCTCCTGTGCCACCACTGCTCACAAAGCAGACGTGGCTGCTCCCTGCTTACACACAGCCTGCTCTGCCCAAATCAGTCACCACAGCAGCACTTTCAAGACGTGGCTGTATGGGACGCAGAAATAAGCACTTTCTCACGCGCTCCCTGGGACAAGGGAGCTGCTGCCTGAGGTCCGTGGGGCACAAGGCTGGGGAGCAGCAATGGTACCCCTCCCTCCTCCCCAGCGCTGCCCAGGCATGCTCTCCTTCCCCCTGCCCTCACCAGCTGTGGGATTACCTGCACATCACCTGACCCTCCCTCCCAGCCCCCCAAAATAATCCACCCACCTGCCTCGTATTTTCATCTCCTGCTAATTACCCAAAACAATTAGCCATGAAATCCCCAAACCAGATTTAGAATTCAGTTATGCTGAATTGACAAGAAAATTAGACCAAACTCCAAGCCCGGTCATAAACAATGTTGACATTAAAATATTTATTACAACACCTTATGCAGATACAACTGGAGAGCTACCAATTTATGTTTTAGTATAAAATGTGAACTCCAATTATTTTTTCCTAAGCAATGTTATTGATGTCATCAGTGCTTCAGCTGAGCACGTGCTGCTTTGCAGGATTCACTGACAAGATGAATTAATGCAGTCATAAATGCATCCTCAAAATAATTTAGGCAGACTTTATACTTCTGTTTAGAAAGTACCTTGGTGAAATTTAAAATTTTTCTTTCAATCAAGCCCGATCTACGCCCCCAAAAAAGATACTACATGAGTTTGGTAGCTGGTAGGGATGCAATCAAAGTGCTAATGACATAATTCAATCCCATATTGGAAAAAGTCATCTACACCTTTAAAGACAGCTTGGGAGGTACCGCTATAAAGGCAGCCACAGTGAATGTTGTGGAAGCACGTTGGTATCAACAGAAGTTCCTCCTGAAGTCAAAAACCTATGTGTACTTCAGGCCTGAATCTTGGCAAGCTGCAAGGCGGTGGCCATTGCTTTATTCTGTTGATTTCATGCTGGTTTGAAGTAGCACTAAAGACTAATAAAATTAGGTTGTTCTGTATTTAAAGACTTGGAAATACAGAACAACTATTTTTTCCTGAGAATCCTGACTTAAAATCTTATTTTACTCTAGAGCCTTAATAAGTACTAGCAACTATACTCACACTAAACATCATTACTTCATATATACTCTGGAAAGTCTGAATTATCTTTTGTTATCTCCTTGGAGGCAGTGACTCAGATAATGGTCTCGGTGATATTTGGTGACACAGACCAACACCTGAACGGCTGCCAAGTAGTGCTCGAGTTTCTCTGGCAAAGGGAAGGCTTGGGCTGCATCCCTGCCTGTGCTCAAGAGGGGCACAGGCTGGACATTTCTCACTTGGGGTCAGAGGAACTGTCCCCCCTTGGTGCCGAGCTGGTTTGGCTTCTTGATTTCTCAGGGCAGAGGAAAGGCAAAGAAAGCCCTTCCCTTCTTGTAATGACAAACCCAACGACAGTATTAGAATAAAGTTCTGAATGGGAGGCCCCACGTGGATGTACCATGAAGGAGGCGGCTGAGGGGCGGGCAGGCAGTGAGGTGAGCCCCGGGGGGGAACCGGGGGAGGGAACGGGCAACTGCAGGGAAGTTGTTTCCGGGTTACCGGAGGGGACCACGGCCGAAGCACCGGCTTTGTCTCTCCCCAGCGCGGCTAAACCCGCGGCAGCTTCCCCACCGCCTCCGGATCTGAACGCGGAGAGTGATGGAGGCAGCGCAGACGACGGAAGACGCGCACCCCCCCCATTCTGGCAGCCAGCTGCAGGGACAGAGCGCAGCGACCACCGCTCCTCGGTCCCGCGGGCCTAGCCCGTCCCGCGGGGTGCCCCCGCCGCCCGGTTGAGCGGGCGCCGCCTTCCCCGAGGGCGGGGAGAGG